CCTGAACAAACCTTTCTCATCCATGGGCTGAATGTAGTCATCTGGGGGTGAAGAGAGGATGACTACTAGCTGGGGTTTAAAAGAAGCAGGCAACCTTGTCAAGGGCTTCAGTCTGTGTCTGCTACCCACCCAAGTTATACTTCTTGATAGTAAAGGCAGGCAGGCAGGCCAGCCTGGAGGTACTGGGATTGAGGGGAGAAGTACTTTGTGACATGGCCCTCTATGGGGTCCAGAGTTGGCTGTGGTCTGGGGAAGCTTCTGCAGACATGCCTTTCCTGGTGCAGCTCATTGCTGCACTGATGCTCTCCTGGTCTCCAGGACCTCTGCCTGACTGAATGGAAGTTCCCAGCTCAGGATACGAAGTCGCCAACCCACCCCCAGCAGCAGCCTGGCTGGCAGCACCCATGCTGGTGGTTGAGGCACTGGAAGATTGAGGTTAGAAGCATCATGAGCACCTGTGCCACAGAAAGTGCCTGTGCCAGCCTGGCAGAATCACTCCATAACAGAGATTCTCTTTCGCTTGGAAAATGTGCATTATTTCTGCTGACAGAGGAGAGGCAATGACTTTCCCAAGGTCACTCAGCAAACATCTGGCAGAGCTGGAGTAGAACCCACTTAGTACTTTTGGCTCCCAGCAGTGTGGCAGACCCTGCCTGGCATAGTGCAATGCTTGAAGGCTTTGGAGCTAGAATGACACATGTGAAATTTGAGTTAAAATCCTGGCTCCACACTGACTAGCTGTGTGACCTTGGTGCCACCTTGCTTCTCTGAGCCTCAGTCTCTTATCTGCAAAGCAGTACCTTCCTCATTGGATTGTCATGAAGATTAAACCTTCCTCATTGGATTGTCATGAAGATTAAACAAGATGATGTTTATAAAACCCTTTATGTAAAGCCTGGGGCAGAGAACCATTTAATAGAGGCCCTCCCCATACAGCTGTCTTAGTAACCCCCTATTCTTCTGCAGGGCATTTCCTTTTTTCAGATACATTTTACCCATTGTTTCATTGGTTCCTCACTCCTAGCTGGCAAAGCAAACAAGGCAGGTGAGGAAATGGGATCAGAGGGTCGGCTGCCCCACTGGTAGGGTTTTTGACCTAGGCCTCCGGACTCCTGATTCCATGCACTTCCCACCTTCTCAGGTGTCCAGAAAGGAGGATGACTTTGATTCTGTTATCATTCCCTCAGTTAGGGACAGCTTCCAGCTGGGGTTGGGCTGGCTGAAGGATGGAGGATTTTTCCCAGAATGCCCTGACAGGCTTGTCTCTTGGCTTCTGTCCCAAGGGGAAATGCAGGACCATATTGGCTTGCTCAGTCCCCGAGAAACCCCAACCATCTGTTTGCCTTGGACCCAGAGTTAGACTGTAATCAAAAGCAAAGAAGTGGCCACCCTTTCCTTCTCTAATATCAGTTCATGTCTCCAGCCCTAGCCCCTAGGCCCCTTAGCCCAGGCCCTATGGGCTGTGATATTTGGAGGAGTGGGTAGAGCTGTCAGTGGCAGGACAGGGTGGGATTTGTGATAGGATCCCCACACCATATATTCTGGGAATGCAGGCAGGCATCCTATCCCCACTGGCCCCTAGGCCTGGCTGCCCTCTGGGTGATCCAGAACCAGTCAGGCAGGCTCTGGCCCTGGACTTTCCCTGGGGTAGACAGAGGGCCCAGGAGACCTCAGGTTAGGGCTCTAAACTGGGCATCAGTACCCAATCTCATGGACAGGAAGGGAGATCCCAGGAGGCCAGATGGATGACTCCCCCGCTCACACACACCCTTATCTTGCCTACCAGCTGGGGAGGAAATTGCTTTGAGTGGTTTATGCCGGGCATACCGCCCAGCCAAGGGCTTCCACTGGACCCCTGGAATTGGATTGGGGTTTCCTAGCTAGCCGCAGGAACCCTGTCTCTAATCTTAATGGCCTGCCGCAGCCCCGGGGCTTCTTCTAGCCTGAACTTGGCTGAAGGCAGCAGCATGGAGACCCTTCAAGGCCCCGGGTCTGCATGAGGCCTGGGGAGAGAGGTTTTTAGTACAGAAAAACCTGCCCTATCTCCTCCTCCAACTCCCTGCGTTAATCTCTTTCTTTCTTTGGAACTCAGTCTCCCTTGCTGTCACACATGCTCTAGAGTTCTCGGAGGCTGGGGCTTGGTCTCCACTCCAGCCTTTCTTGGTGGAGGATCACATTAGCTGATTCTGAGGACATTGTCATGGCCCTGGGTGGGGTCTGGGGAGTCAGCCTCCCATTAAGAGGGAAAAGCTTGCCCAAGGCCCCCTGGTGAAGCTGCAGAGATGCTGGACACCTGACCCCCAGACTTCAGCTGCCTCCCTTAGCCCAGCGCAGTCCCTCCATCAGAAAGTTCCCAAGCATTGGTGGCAGGTCTTGCGAGTTAGAGTAGGTGGAGGGTCTCAACAGGTATAGGCCGCCATCTCAGAAGACGCCAGCCTCTGGCTCCATCCTGGGCGATCTAGGTCAGCATCCTCCCTCCCAGCCAAGCCTCTTTCCTCCCTCTGAGGTGCGAGCTTGTTATAGGCATAGAGGCTATTGTTAGAAACACTGGTCTCCCCCCTTCGGATGTTCCCCTGAAGGGCCAGCACCCCAGCGACCCATCCCAGAAGCCTCTTCGTTTCCTGGGCAGCTTGGATTGGCAGGAGGAGGGCTGGAGGCAGGAGGCCAGGCCAGGGTGGCCGTACCGCCTCTGGTGAGCCTCCTCCCGCTGTGGGCCTCAATTTCTCCATCTCTCTCAGAATCAAGCGTTTGAGACGACACAGAGGGGTGGGCCTGGGGGGTAGAGGCTAGCCCTTTCTATGAGCCCCAGGAAGGGACGCAGCACGACCCTTAGTTCAGCCACCTCCAGGCTGTGCCCAGGATACACGTGCAGCAGCCACTCTCTCAGGCTTGGGATCTCTCTCCTCCAAGCGGCCGCTTGTTCCTGAGACACAGGGACAAGTTTGTTCTTCCCTGAGGAGAAAAACAAGTCCCCCGGAGGGAACAAACCCAGGACCGAGATGAGGGCTTGATAGAAACTCCAGTTTCTGGTCTCTCCCTGGGACTGAGAAATCGACTCTGTTTTGAGGGCTGGGAAAGAAAGGGAAGGAAAAGAACCAACACTGAATATCTACCGTATGCCAGCTGCGGACCTCATTCCCCTGATCCCCAAGACAGCCCCAGGAACGGGCAGTTATTGACCCATTACACAGATGAAGAAACTAAAGCTCAGAGCAGAGATTCCCTCTCTGCATGCACTGTGGCCGAGAAGGGCATGGGAGTAGAGCCTCCCTTGAGTGCCATGCGGGGCATAGACAGCAGGCTGTCCAGACCGCTCACTCAGCAAGCCTTGTGGGGGCCTGAAAATGAAGGTACTCAACCCCCACAGTCAGAACCAACATCATAGAGGGGGGTTGTAATGAGGTATAAAGAGCAAGACAAATATTTGTACAGTGCAGCTGTCTTGCAGGTGGCCTGTGGCCCCAGTCCACAACCAGGACACACAAGTGTTTAGCAACCTCTCCCAGCAACGTCCAGCCTTGCTCTCAGCAACCTCACCATCTGGGGTACCCTCCTAGCCTGAATGGATGCTCCCCCCACCCAGCTCTTCACAGGAAGCTCAAGCTTTGCCATGTTGGAGTCTTTGGTTTTGTAGTGTTTGGGAGCCATCTGTAGTACCCGCTATTCACCACCCAGAAACCCTCCATCCCACCCCTCCCACCAGCCTGCCACCTCCGTGGGGCACTTCCAGCGCCTGCATCCTTCTTCATCCTGATACCAGGCACTACCACCAGCATGCTGTCTCTATAGGGTACTTGAGTCTGTGCCCGCCTGCGAAAAAAGGCACCTTCTTTCTTCCTGCAAAGGCAAAGGTAGGTCCCTTTGCGGGCTATACCTGCCCAGAGTGGAGCCTTTTCCAAATGTCACTGTCTACACTCATGATGGCCCTGATCACCATCATCCCCATCACTGTCGTCACCTGTACTTTCATCATTAAGCACTTCTCAGTTCCTGAGACCCCGCCACATGCTGTACCATATTTGTTGCTGAGATCACAATAAAGGCAAGATTAGGTAAGGACTCGATCTTGGAAGAAAATTAGTTACGAAGAAGAGAAAAGCAGGTAATACACAGAGAAAAGAAGACATTGCATAAAAATGTGCCAACCTTGATACTCTGTCTTCAAGGCCCGGAGTGGTTCATGGAAAGAAGCAGTTACTGTGGGCTGTGGCCATCTGAGACACTTTCTAAAAGTGGTCTGAGGCTTCTAATTCTGATGTAGTGTCCAGCTGAGGCTGTTATAACAAAATAGAACAGACTGGGGGCCTTAAACAACGAACATTTATTTCTCACAGTTCTGGAGGCTGGAAGGATGAGCTCAGAGTGCCAGTAGGATCGGGTTCTGGTGAGAGCCCGCTTCCTGGTTTGTAGATCATCTCTGTGGTATCTCTTCCTAAACGGGCACTAATCCCATTCGTGGGGCTCCACCCTTGTGACCTAATCACCTCCCAAAGGCTTCATGTCCTAATACTATCATTTTGGGGATTAGGGCTTCATAATATGAATTTTTGGGGAGACATAAACATTTAGTCTGTAGCAGCTGGGAAATGAAGAAAGTTAATAATGATGACCCTACCCATGTATGTGTCCATGGCCCAGAGCACTTTCTTAACCAGTTTGACTTCTCTGGCAACCTCGAGAAATGAGGGGCAGATGTCTAGCTCGTCTTAGTTGTGGGGAGACTGACATGTGGTGGGAAGGCAAGTGCTGGCCATCTCAGACTGGGTGGTCCCATGCCACTCACCCTCCTCATCTCCTCAGAGTGGAGATAGTTGGTGGCATCCTAGTCAATTAATTGGAAGGCTAATGACTTGCCCAAGGTCATAGAGCTGTTGTGTTCACCCAAATGCTAAAGAGGCAGAAGTGGGATCTTCCCTGAGAGCCAGAACTGGGTGCTGGGACTCAGGAGCTGCTGTGGGATTGAGAGGAGGGGTTGGGGGAGCTTCCCAGGTCAGGATCCAGGCCCTGAGGCATGGCCAGCAGCAGAGGGATGGCCAGAGGCACCAGCATCGTGCTGGGGTATGCTCCGTGTCCCAAACACAGGCCCCAGTCCCAAACTAGTCTCTAGTGACCACCAGTCCTTACACTGAGATGTGTCAGCTTAGCCTGGAGCTGGCCCACTGACAGCCCAGGGGCTGGTCCTGTGCCCCAGTGGGGCTACACTGCAGGGTTCACAGCTCTGTCTACAGCATCACATTGTGTACGAGGCTGATGGAGGCCAGATGCCGGGGAGTCCCACCTGGCCCTGGGTTCAACTTGCTGTATGAATCCGGCCACATCACTTGGCCACTTTGGGTTTAGTTTTATCTGCAAAATGAAACTACCGAAAACCACTCTTCTGAAAACCACCCTTCCCTCAGTGAGCCAATCTGATAATTTGTAGGCAGCCCTGGTTCAGATCTTCCTCTTCCACTGCCACCATGATTGTGAGCAAGTCCCTTCACTTCTCTGAACCTTGGTGTAAAATGGATTAACAATATCTTCAGCAAAGGGTTGTTGTGAGTTTGAATGAGCTGATAACTGTGGGACCATGTGCCCACCCTCAGGTGTGATGTTATTGTCTCTTTGTTGCCGGGCCATGGGGGAGGGATAGGATGCTAGAATATCCGGAGTCCTGATACCAAGGGGGACAACAGGGAGTCGTGCCCCTGGGGGTGATGGACAAGTTGTATTCATCTTTGGTTTTTCAAAACCTAGACCCAGGCTGAGCCCACATTTAAGAAGGGGACACCGAGGTCACTAGTATCAGAATATCCTGCCACCAGCTAAGGGGTGCAGCTAGAAGACCACTGGGCAGGAGCTTGACATATCTAGGGTTTGCTTCTTTGGACCTCAGTTTCCCTATCTGAAACAGGCTTAAACTTAGGTCTTAAACTTATAGGCATTGACAAGTCTGTAATTTTGGCCCAAAACCCATCTCCAGGAAGATTGCTCTGCCTAGGAATAGTAGGGAGAGACTAGGAGGACTAGGGGTGGGAGCACCCACGAAGTCCCTCAGGCCAGAGGCAAGGCCAGAACTTCCAGAGACCTCCCTCGAGGCTTCCTTCCATCTCTCTGTCTCCTCACTGCCCTATCACCATGGTGATCCCTGCTGAAACTGGATCAAGAAGCAGCATTGGGAAGAGGGAGGTGGGGTGTGGATGCTGGGATGTGCTGACCCTTGGCCCTGCCCAGCCATACCTCAGCCTCTCATTTGGAGTCACAGGGGTAGAGATGGACAAGTAGCAGTGGACTGGTGTTGAGGGTGCCATATTTTATTAACCCATATAGGAAAGTGTTACTACTAATACCTGTTAACTAATCATAAATATTAATTATTAATAACAACTTATCAATTAATAATTGTTTACAATTTATTGAATACATCTGACCCAGTACTGAGCACTTTATAATTTAATTCTTTTGACAACCACTCAGGTAAGAACTTTTATTGCCATTTTCCAGATGAGGAAACATGATCAGAGAGGTTCAGAGACTTTCTCAAGGTCAGACAGCTCGGAGTTGGGTAGGAAGTGGGCCTGGGATCAAGGTCTATATGAACTTGGAGGCTGTGTGTCCAGGTTGCTTCTTTGCAGTTTCATGGCTACTTTAGGCAGAACCCACTGGGTGGAGTGGGCTCTCTTGAAAGTCTACTGACCAATTTAGGGAAACATCATGTGCCTGACATGTCTACAGATTGTGGTCTCTACGGAGCCTCAGGCTGGCTGGTTCTTCTCCCCGTTGTCCTCACGGCCTAGGCGAGCTGATGAAGTGGTTTCTCTGCCCACTTCAGGGCTGTGTGGGGCTCCAGGTGCTCTACCCATGTCCAGCCTGGATGGCTAGACTTCCCATGGTAGTCCCTCCACATCTGCACAGATCCCAGGAGACTCCCCTCTGGGACCCTGCAGCCTGCATTCTGCTTCTTCTAGGTCCTGGCCTGACGCCTTCTGTCCTAGCCACAGCCTGGACTGCATTGAACGAGGCACTCTGCCAAGAATGTGCAGAGCAGTGCCATAAGCAGCTGCAGGGTCTGGCTGGGAGGTGCAACCCTCCCCGCTCCTTGGTCACCCAGCTACCTGGGCCTATTTCTTCACTTCTGCTCACAGATCTTCCACATGACCTATGACCTGGCCAGCGCTGTAGTGCGCATCGTGAATCTCATCGGTATGATGCTCCTGCTCTGCCACTGGGACGGCTGCCTGCAGTTCCTGGTCCCCATGCTGCAGGACTTCCCTGACGACTGCTGGGTGTCCATCAACAACATGGTGGTGAGCGCCTAGCCGGGCCCTTCCTGTGGCATGGGCAGTAGAGGCCCAGGAGGCACAGAGGGGCAGAGCAGGTCCACAACTTGGAACTCCTGAGTCCCAGCATGTAGGAAAGACCCCAAGGGTACATGACTTTACTCGGTACAGGTCTGTCACAGAGCTTGTGTGCTTTCTTTACAGCCTCACTGCAGTTGGGAGCCTGGGTATTTGGCCCTGATCTCACCCAGGGAGACTAAGACCTGGGCTCCTTGGATTCTCTCAGGTGTTTCAGAGCTGGGCTGGTACCTCCTACCCTCCTGCCTCTGCTCCCCAGAGGCAGACCCACCCTTAAAAGTTGAGCCCAAGGAAAGAGAACCTTGTGAGGGGCACTATTGGTAGTAGGCATAGACTTCCAGGTCACACACAGTGGCCACTTTCTGCTCTACCAGCAGAACTAAGCTGTCCCCTTACTCTGTCACCCCCATCCCTGCCCAACATACGCACACTTCCTAGTCATAGGTGGGGTCCTGAGTGGGGAAGGTAGACCAGATGGAGCCTGATCCCCTCCAACCGCGTGGATGGGTGAGAGAAGTTGAAATTGTGTCTGAAGAAGCCGTAGGGCAGAGTCCCCAGCCCCCCATGGACAGGGCAGATGCTAGGTGGGATGGAGGACCCCCTCTCTCTGTGTCTGGCAAACTCCAGCCTCCTTCGTTCTCTCAGTCAGTTTGGTTTGATCTGTAGGCAAATTCTCAAGGCCCCAGGACCCCAGGGAAGGATAAACAGGCTTTGAAAGAAGTGAAAGAGACCCTGAGGCATCTTTCAGCATCAAACAGGCCTTTACAAAACAGCCTTTTGATGAGCTAAGTGTAAATGAATGGGCCATATGGAATGAATCCCCAGAGGCTCAGCAAGGCCTGAAGTCCTGATGGAGGCAGCTGTTCCCCCAATGCCCAGGCCCCCTCAACCCCTGGAGGTCAGCCCCACAGACCTCCCACTCTGATTGGGACTGAGAGCACCAGACTAGCTTAGCTCTGTCCAGGATGGTCTGGGTGACCTTGAACATGGCACGCAGCTCCTGTGCCTTCCTCCAGGTGCTGAGAACAGACCTGTGACTCTGGAAATGCTTGAGGCTCTGAGCAGGGATTCTGTGGGTCATGCACTAGGGTGGGTTCCACATCGTTAACACATCCACCGTGTGAGAGGGGTGTTTGGGAGGTGGCTGACACTGGAGTTCATCTGGTGGCCCCCTCATCTGGGACAGTTTTCTCTATGTGAAGGTAACAGGCCCACACCTACCCTAAATTCAGAAGATGGCCCTTTGAGCCCAATGTTCTCACACTGAGACTTCCTTGAGACACAAACTAGCTTTGAAGGCAAAAATAGCCAGGAGCCTCACTTCCTTTCTCTCTCTTTCTTCCTGCCCCCAAGCATTGTGTGTTCCAGATAGTCTACCTTTTGTGGAGGGCAACTAGTGGCAGTGGCCCTGGACAGATGCAGGCAGGGTTCATGCAGAGAAGCCAATCAGCTCAGCAGCACTTTAACTTTTGTTCACCCAAAAATGAGGACAGTGTTTTTGGCTCAGTGTGAGAGCTTATCCCCCCAGGGGAAGCATATCTGGTTTTATAATTGAGGTCAGTGGGGAAATGGGCTTCACTTGGCAGCAGTTTGGGGCAAGGGGGATGGAGCTATTTTAGCAAGCGGAGGATGGCAGGGTGGCTCAGCCTGGAGCCTTTGATGCTTAGGAGGCCCAGGCTGCCCTGTGGGGGCTGAGAGGTCAGGTGGGGGCCAGGCTGGCTCCCATCCCTTTGCTGGGGCTTCTGGTCTGATCTCTGTCTCCCACTGCAAGGGAAAGGCCTGATATGGGATTCACTCGGTCACCACAGATTGCCAGTATGGGCCTCCCTGCCCTTCTCCCAAGGCTTTCAGCCACCAGCAAGGTGGGAGCCCTGGGCTCA